TGGTCTATTTACTCTACTGAGCCTTTTTTGTGCAGACAGATGCTTTTTATTTTGATGTAGTCCCATTTGTCTACTTCTGCTTTTGTTGTCTATGCTTTGGGGTCATATTTTTTAAAAACCACACCCAGATCCATATCAACAAGCCTTTTTACCTTTTTCTGTTTTTCTCCTCTTAGTTTTACAGTTTCATGTCTTACATTTAAGTATTTAATCCATTTTAATTTGATTTTTAGATATAGTATGAGATAAGGATCCAATTTTATTTTCTGTATGCAGTTATCTAGTTGTCCTAACACCATTTATTAAAGAGAGTGACTTTTCCCATTGTGTCTTCTTTGTATCTTTGTCAAAGATGAATTGATCAAAAATGTGTAGATTCATTTCTGGCTCTCAATTCTGTTGTATTGGTTTATACATGCATTTTTATATCAGCACCATGCTGTTTTTTGTTAACTTTGTAGTACATTTTGAAATAAAGTAGTGTGATGCCTCTTGCTTTATTCCTTTTTGCTTATGATTGCTTTGGCTATTTGAGGCTTTCGTGGTTCCATACAAATTTTAGGATTGCTTTTCCTATTTCTGTGAAAAAATGTCATTGGAATTTTCATACGAATTGTACTGAATCTCCACATTTCTCTGGGTAGTATGAACATTTTAACAATATTAATATCTTTAATCCATGAAAGTGAAATATGTTTCCATTTATCTGTGTCTTGTTCAACATCATCCATCAATGTTTTATAGTTTTCAGTGTGTAGGTATTTCATCTCTTTGGTCAAATTTATTCTTAAGTATTTTATTCTTTCTAATGCTATTGCAAATGAGATTGTTGTTAACTTCTTTTTATTGATAGCTCATTGTTAGTGTATAAAAATGCAACTGATTTTTACTTGTTGATTTTTATTCTGTAACTTTATTGAATTTGTGGGTTAGTTCTAAGAGTTATTTGGTGGAGTTGTTAGGGTTTTCTATATACAAGATTATGTTATCTGCAAACAGATAATTTCACTCCTTCCTTTCCAATCTGCTTTTTTTTTTTTTTTTTCCCTGCAATTGCTGTGGCTAGGACTTCCTGCATTATATTGAATAGAAAGGGCAAGAGTGGGCACCCTTATTTTGTTCCTGATCTTAGAAGAAAAACTGTCAGTTTTTCACTATTTAATATGACAGATTAGCTGTGAACTTATCACATATGGTCTTTATTATGTTGAGATACACTCCTTCTGCTATGGTTTGAATATTTTTTCCCTCCAAAACTCATGGTGAAATTTAATCCTCACAGTGGCAGTACTGAGAGGTGGGGCTGAGCCCTCATGAATAGATTAATCCATTTATGAATTAATGGGTTAATAGATGATCATGGGAGTAGGACTGGTGGCTTCACAAAAAAGGAAGAAAGATCTGAGCTATCATCTTCAGCTCCTCCCCATGTGATGACCTGAGTTGGTTAATGACTCTGTACAGAGTTCCTATCAGCAAGAAGGCACTCACCAGATACAACCCCTGCCCTTGGACTTCTCAGTCTCTGTAACTGTGAAAAATAAATTTCTTTTCTTCACAAATTACCCAGTTTCAGTTTGTTATAAGCCAGAGAAAACAAACCAAGAAACCTTCCATACCTAATTTGTTGAGACAATATGAGGGATATTGGCTTATACTTTTCTTCCTTCCTTGGCGTTTGTAACAAAGTAATGCTGGCTTTATAAAATTACTTTGGAAGTCTTGTCTTCTCTTTAATTTTTTGAAAGAGTAAGAGCAATTAGCGTTAATTCTTCTTTAGGTGTTTGGTAAAATTAACCAATGAAGCCATCTTGTCCCAGGTTTTTTTTTTTTTTTTGCTGTTGTTGGTAGTTTTTTTATTATAAATTTAACCTCTCACTCATTACCGGCCTGTTCATGATTTAATCTTGGTAGATTCTATATTTCTAGAAATTTATCTATTTCTTCTAGGTTACCGAATATATTGTTGTATAATTGTTTATAATAGGCTCTTAGGATCCTTTATATTTCTGTATCCATTATATGCTTTCTCTTTCATTTATAATTTTTAGTCTTCTCTCTTTTTTTTCACAGTTTAGCTAAAAGTTTGTCAATTTTTGTTTGTTTTCAAAAAACCAACTGTTTCTTTGATTTCTGTTATTTTTATTATCTCCATTTCCTTTATTTCTGCTCTGATCTTTATTATTTCCTTTCTTCTGTAACTTTAGGATTAGCTTCTTCTTTTTCTAGTTCCCTGTGTCATCAAGAAAGGTTGTTCAAGATCTTCCTCTTCTCTTATAGGCATTCATTTGTCTCTATAAACTCCCCTCTTAGAGCTATGTTTGTTATATCCCATAAATTTTGATATTTTTTTCATTTTCCTTTGTCTCAATATATTTTTTTTAATGTAAAATTTCTTTTGTAACACATTCGTTGTCAGTAGTGTGTTGTTTAAGTTTTATATATTTGCAAATTTTCCAATTTGCCTCGTTATTAATTTCTAGTTTTATATCACTGTGTTTGAAAAAGTTACTTGACATGGCTGGGCGTGGTGGCTTATACCTGTAATCCCAGCACTTTGGGAGGCCGAGGTGGGTGGATCACCTGAGGTCAGAAGTTCAAGACCAGCCTGGTCAACATGGCGAAACCCTGTATCTACTAAAAATACAAAAATTAGCTAGGTGTGGCGGAGGGCATGTGTAATCCCAGCTACTTGGAAGGCTGAGGCAGGAGAATCACTTGAATTTGAGGGGCAAAGGTTGCAGTGAGCCAAGATCATGCCACTTCACTCCAGCCTGGGCGAAAGGGTGAAACTCCATCTCAAAAAAAAAAAAAGAGAAAGTTACATGACACGACTTCAAGCTTCTTAAATGTGCTAAAACTTGTTTTGTGGCCTAACACAGGATCTATCCTGAATAATGTTACGTGCGCATAAGAAGAATGTGTATTCCACTAGTGTTGGATGGAATAATCTGTATGGTTCTTAGTTCTATTTGGTCTACCATGTTATTCAACTCTGCTGTTTCTTTATTTTCTGTCTAGATGATCTATCCATTGTTGCAAATAAGATGTTGAAGTCCCCTACTATTATTATATTGCTGTCCATTTCTTCCTTCAGTTCTGCTAATATTTGATTTATATATTTAAGTGCTTTGATATTGGGCACATATGAATCTATGATTAATACATCCTCTTGGTGAATTGACCCCTAGATCATTTTATAATGACCTTTTCTCTTGTGAAACTTTTTGATATAAAATATATTTTGTCTGATATAAATTTAGCATCCCTGTTTTCTTTTGGCTACTGATTACACGGAATATTTTTTCCATCTCTTTATTTTCAGACTGTATGTGTCCTTAAAGCTAAAACGAAGACTCTTAGAGAGAGTATATAGTTGAATATTTGTTTTTGCATCCATTCAACCACTCTATTTTTGATTGGAGAATTTAATTTACATTTAATGTAATTATTGATAGATAAGGAATTACAATTGTCTTTTTGACTACTTTGTAATTTCTTTATTCCATTCTTCCTCCTTTGATGTCTTCCTATGTGATTTTTTTTGTGGGGGGAGGGCGATGGAGTCTCACTCTGTTGCCCAGGCTGGAGTGCAGTGGTGCAATCTCAGCTCACTGCAATCTCCACCTCCCAGGTTCAAGTGATTCTCCTGCCCCAGCCTCCAGAGTAGCTAGGACTACTGGCACCCACCACTGCGCTCAGCTAATTTTTGTATTTTTAATAGAGACGGGGTTTCGCCATGTTGGCCATGCTGGCCTTGAACTCCTGACCTCAGGTGGTCCACCTACCTCAGCCTCCCTAAGTGCTGGGATTACAGGCGTGAGCCACCGTGTCTGGCCAAGTCTTGCAGCTTTCTAATTCCACACTTCAGCTAAGGCATAGGAATTTTTCTGTAAATTTTCTGAGTGCCCATGGGCTAAATTCACAGCCATCAGAGATACTATAGCTCTTCTCAGTGGCTCTGCAATGAAGCACTATGGTACATTAAGCTCTAGTTTGCAGTTTAGCGCAATGTTTATTGCAGTGAAAGGTATTTTCATACTAAGTGGTATGTGCAGGTAAACCGAAATGCTATACATATAAATGAGCCCTGAGAATATTACTGGAGGAAAATTGTTTAAATGAGGAAGACTAAATCTTGGGTTAGAAAACTTTCCCTCTTTCTCCATGGTATGCAGAGTAAGTACCAGATATTTTGGTCTCAGCCCTCCTAGATCCCATCTGCCTGTCTTCTCAGGATGCTTAAATATCTTTTCTGTTTAGTCTCAAAGTCTATTCCAATTTATAAGAGTTAATTACTAATGCACATATGGGTATTGGGGGGAATTGCATGAAATACAAACCAATATTAACAGAAGTTATTATTTTGGTGTATTGCCTAACACCACTGAACATATACCTCCCTGCGGATCCCCATCTGCCTCCAATTATACTCCTACAGCTGTGGGTGAATAGGCATTACTTAAGTGGGAGTAAAAAAATATGCTATTTTATCTGTTAGCCTATTAAATAGTTACAGTACTGAAAATATGTCTTTTGTGCCACCCTCCTGGAATTTTCACCAGCTGCCAAGCTTTTTCCCACCTCCAAATTCCTACTGGGCTTTGGTCCTCTTTTAATAGCTTTCATGTAATTTTTTTTACACATTTTATCTCAACTTGTTGTCAGTACTTATTGAGGAGATATAATTGAGAACTGGCAAGTAACCAAATCCTTGGAAAAAAGACAAGGCACGAGATAGTATCAACAAACAAATTTCACCCTTTTTTTCTATTTACTTAAGCAAGCTACTTATCAGGGAGGTTCACAAACACGTCCAACAGTTAAGCCGTCTTATCTACAGCTTCCACCCTGGAAGGCTGTAGTATCACATAATCATATACATACTTACAGCATAAATCATATACCTAATCATCCTCACTCACTCTGCAAAATGATAAATTCTCCCAAATTATCATTTAATCAAGCGACTTTCCTGTCCAAGAGTGTAATGGCTTAAGGTGCTCATTATATAACAAACTGGAATTAAATACGGTACTTCTAATAATGACTTCTTCCAATCAGTCCAAACTGGGTTCCCACTTATACCCTATGATATACATCTCTGTAACGTAAAACTTTATCCTTTCTGCTCGGCGCGTTGGCACATTCTGTTCCTCCCACTAGAATATTTCCTGCACTTATTCAAATCATACCTATGACCACTGCAGAACTCCAGGCACGTGGCCGTTCCATCGAAACCCCTGCGCTCAGAGATTTGACCAAACTCTAGCACAGTTTTAGCAGCATAAGGTCCTGTGCCCAGGACGACTGCCTCAGTAAGCTGAACCACGTGATGTAACCAGCACAGAACTGATAACAGGTCTCTGACATCCCTTTCTTAGAACATTTACTAAAGGGCCTACAATTGTAAATACTTATTTCTTGCTACTCAGAAGTTCTCTCTCAAGGACCAGAGAGCCATTCCCTGGAAATGTAATCAAGAAGGATAAAATCCTCCGTAGGAGGATACAATCCTGCGGTAACTGTTGAAACACACACACACAGCTGGCCTAATCACATTTACACTAACAACTCTGTAGGTTCACTTTCTCTACTGAGAGCCCGTGTATCCCCTTTCTCCTTTTAAAAGGCCCCTTTAAAAATGCCCAGGTCACCTCTGCACAAATCGAAATAGTGCTCAGCTCTTTCCTGTCAGTAGTTAACTGAACAAATGTTTTCACCGCTTTAACGTCCAGCTGCGCTTATTTTTGACCTCGACTACCTAAAGTCTACCTTTAGTCCCACGACTCTGACAAAACGATCTCAATATGGGCGTAAAATGACCTCCCCTTTCAAGGATCTTCCAAAGCACTTCCTGTCTGAGGCATACAAACTGTATTGGCACGGAATTTTACACTTACTGAGCTTTACAGACACCTCGTCACATCCACACATTCAGGACACACACTAGGTATTCGGGTAAAAACAAAAAACAAACAAACAAAAACACAAAAAACTGGCTAAATACCCATTCCCCTCAATAACTCGGATGAGAGATCTAAAAAGGGTCGACCTGCGGTACCTTTCTGTCCTCTCCCCTCTCGCTGTTTGCCTACACTGGCTTCCTTGCCTTCCCTTTTTCCCACGTTTATGGAGCCAAAACAAGCACGGTTCAGCAGCCTCCTTCCCAGCCCTAACCCTGTGCTGCAAAAGCGAAAATTCAAAGCCAAGAACAATAGGAGACCGCCCACCCGGGCTCACTCGCGACACTAGGGGGAGCGATACGGCTGCAGGAAAGGGGGAGCCTCGCGGCAGAGGCGGGATTTCCGGGGTCACGGGAACCGGCAGGGGAACAGGATAAAGTCCTTGGAGAAAGGAAAAGGAGCGTGGGATAGTAAAGGCGGCGACGCGGAGAAGAGGAGGGGACATACAGGAACGGAGGACAGGCGCGGAGGAGGTTCCCGGTGGGAGCAGAAACAAAGACACGCAAAGCGGAAGAGCGTGTGTAAGGTAGCGGAAAAGGAAGTCACCGCCGCGGCCTGCGGGGCTACGTGGTCGTAAAGGTTGGCCTTAGCGCTTCAGTTTAGTGTTGTTAGTGGGAGAATCCTAAAATGTCGCCGTGGAATGGACTGTAGCGCTCGCTTCTCCAAACGTGTCCCAGACGGCGAGCCTCGCCGGCTCTGCGGCTTGTCCCTTGCAAGCGCCGCGCAGGCCTGCCACCTGCTGGACGTGGAGACGCGGTGCTAAGCGCCACGGGCGGACTGTACGCCGGGCGGGGAAGAAGGGCTAGGGGAAGAGATGAATCGGTCTTCGCAGAGCGCGCCGCGAGATCGCGAGATTACACTTTCAAAAGCATAAGGAGGCTTGCTTTCTACACATTGATTTAATTTCGGAGTACATTCGAGGCCCTGTGCTAAGTTAGGTAATGTTCCCTGTGACTTCTGTAATTGTCTTTTATGTATTAAATTGTCTTGCTTAACTAAAACTTTTCCTGTATCGTGCCGCCAACTTTTCAAGAACGAAAGATGAGCAACTCCATTTTGGTAGAGGTTTTTTCATTGGACAGTTTTTGAGCTGCAGTAATCCTTTTAACGCTGCGCACACATACGGGGGTTACACGTGTAGGGGATTAAAACCACAATTAAGTTATAGGTTGAAGGGGCTGTTAAGGACTTCAGGCAACATCTAAATAAACACTCCGTTCTTTTCTCTGTTCCACATCTGGGAGCCACCTGTATAGCAGCTGTTGCTCTAGGTGCTAGAGGTACGCAGAGGAACTGGGCACTCTCAAGGACCAGAGAGCCATTCCCTGGAAATGTAATCAAGAAGGATAAAATCCTCCGTAGGAGGATACAAGGGCAAGAAAAACAAAGGACCCCTTTCGAAGAACTAGCGTTCTCTTGGGAGAGACAAGCTTGTGGTGAGAAGTGTATTTGTGAAATCTACGAGGGCGGGGGAGGAGCGCAGTAATAAAACGGGTGATCCTTTCTTGATTTCTTATTGGGTTCTGGCCTGAAAGGCGACCGTATAATCAGTTGAGATTACTGCAGTGATTAACATTCCAGGAAGGGAAGCCAGCCTGTGAAGGAGCATGGCGTTGAGACAGGGTGAGTGGTGAGATTAATAAACAGGATAGTTGGAGAGTTGATTTGTGGCCAGATTCTTAAGTCCCTGTATGGAATTTAGGCTTAAGAAAATTATCGTTAGACACTGCAAATACCCTCTTGCAGCTAAGACTAATGGGAAGAATTGGTTAAAAAACTAATTACAGCAAAGAGTGAGAGAGTGGTGATGAGAGATACAGATATTGTGAGAGCAGACAATAAGGGGACTTTATGTAGTCCTATGTTAGAGGAGATGATTTGAAGTTACTCTGAGGGAGACAAAAATGTAACGGGAAGAGAGATCGCATATGCGAAAGCTTGAAATGGCGAAAAAATCAGAAGGATTTCAGGAACTGAAAGTTGTGCATTTTGCCTGTGTGAGGGAGAGAGTTGTGGGTGGCATGTAATGAACCTTCAAAGGTAGTTTATATTATGACAGCCTACAACCGAATCAGAACTTTTAAAAACAGGCGATATACAGACAGTCTGAAATCAAATGCTTCTGATTTCTATTGCGTGCTCTAGGCTAATTGTTTTCTAAGTATGAGTTTGCGTTAGTCGTCTGGATTTAGTGATTACAATATAAGGTGAAATAGGTAAGGGCTTTTAAGAGAACATCTCACTTATTTCCTGTGCACTAAGGGGGAACAGATCACTTTTGCAGAACTTGAAAAAATTGGAAAGTGCGACCTTTGATCTCAGATGGGCTTTCTTTCCTCTTTTCAGTGGCTTGGTAGTGAGCTGCTCAGCTGCACCGAATCTTCTCTGTGGTGGGGCTGCGGGCTGCAAGACATCCTGCTTGGCAAGTTTTAAACATAAGTTTTACCCCGAAGAAAGCTTATAAAATTGTAAATGCCTCAGAACCTTTTCATCTTCCTGTGATTCTGGAAGAAATCCAAAATACCAATCGTTTAACTACATGCTTCTACAGAACCTGAATCTTAAGCTCTGTTCACTTTATACTATTAGATTCTATAGTAGATTAATAATGACTAACACCTTGTCATCTCATCGCTGAGCTTTTGTCTAAGATAGTCTCTGAATTTAGAACTAGGATGAAAGTATACATAATAGGCTATTATAAAATTTTTAGAATTGGATTTCTAAACTTGGGGTCAGTGAATCTAGCAGGCTCAAGCAGTGTTCTCAGGTTTTTCTGGCACAGACAAGGAATATAAGAGGAGGAGAGAAAAGTAGAGACGGTAGTGGGAGAGAATAGAATGAGAGAAGAGAGAAAATATGGAATTAATAGTGAAAGGAAACGTGAAGTATTGTAAGATTTTCTTGGAAAAATTGGCATTTCGGTGATAGATCAAAGATGACTAATGAGACAAAATACTATTACATAAATATTTAATGTTTTGATGATTTGAGGATAAAAGGATATCTGATGGCATTCATACTAAATGCTGTAGTGTTGATGTTGGTGAGGGATAATATATCAAGACAGAGCAGACAGACCCCTTTACAATGAGAGCAGAAGATATGTTGTTTACTGATTCTACTTTCCCACAAAATGCTAATGCTTTTGTAAGTCCCTACTCTTTATTTTCTAGATTAACTTCTTGTTTCTTCCCCTAAACAGGATTATGGAAGACAGGCAAAAAGAAAAAAAAAAAAAAGGTTTTTTTTTAAAGCAACCATCTATGTCCTTATCAGGTTTCTTTAGCACTTTTATTCTGAAGATATTATCAAGGTGGAAATTAGGGCCTCTGCCCCACGTGGATCTCCTTCATTGAATTGTATCTTCATACCTGATTAATGGCATATTTTAGGCAAAAGCACCCAGGCATACTATATTTGACTCTGAATATATAGGCCTTCCAGGTTTATTAACTGAACTGGTACGTGACCTTGACAGCTTCCCTAGACTAGAAGCATTCCTAAGGAACCCTGAGCTCTAGTCTATTTGGCCTTCTTAGAATGGGACACTTCCCAAATTGAAGGCAGCCATAGGTTGCAGAGAGGAGAGAGGAGGGAGAAAGGGAGAGAGGGAGAAAGCAAGTTCCCTTTGTTGCCTCAGTAAATAGAATGCAGAAGGGAGGGACACATTAAGTCAAGTCTTATCTCAATACGTACTGGGTAAATTGCCTCTCATTCTGAGAAAGTTATAGGAAGTGTGTCAGGTTATCCTTAACTCATAATACCTAATAGCCTTGTGAGAAAAATCTGTTCAAATAGTTAAAGTAGGAAGAATACCACTAACCAGACCCTTATAAAATATGTATTATATATAGATATGTAGAATGACTTTGTATTGTCTATTAACCTCATTTTTTTTTTTTTTTTTTTTTTTTTTTTTTTTTTTTTTTTTTTTTTTGAGACGGAGTCTCACTCTGTCACCCAGGCTGGAGTGCAGTGGCGCAATCTCGGCTCACTGCAAGCTCTGCCTCCTGGGTTCACGCCATTCTCCTGCCTCAGCCTCCTGAATAGCTGGGACCACAGGCGCCCACCACCACGCCCGGCTAATTTTTTGTATTTCTAGTAGAGACGGAGTTTCACCGTGTTAGCCAGGATGGTCTCGATCTCCTGACCTCATGATCCGCCCACCTCGGCCTCCCAAAGTGCTGGGATTACAGGCGTGAGCCACTGTGCCCGGCTATTAACCTCATTTCTTAAAAAGTGTTAATATTTTTATTAGTGATGCAGTAGAGATTATGTTGCATACAAACCCGTTTTGTAAATATGAATAAAACCAGACAAGGAGCTCTTGCCCTCCTTTTCTGAAGAGGAGCAGAGATTCCTCAGCGAGGAGCGATGGAGAAGTTGCGGCTCTTTGGCAAGCTGACCAGAAGCCAGTGAAAGATTATTTGGCTATGATACCCTCACTTGTAGCTACACCCCTGGGTTTGCATTTTTAAAGAACCCAAAAGTGAAATAGTTCTTTCTGTTTCTTTGAGACAATCTCTCACTCTGTCACCGTGGCTGGAGTGCAGCGATACGATCTCAGCTCACTGCAATTTCTGTCTCCTGGGTTCAAGCTATTCTCCTGCCTTAGCCTCCTGAGTAGCTAGGATTACAGGTGTGTGCCACTACACCTGGCTAATTTTTGTATTTTTAGTAGAGATAGGGTTTCGCCATGTTGGCCAGGCTGGTCTCGAACTCCTGACCTCAGGTGATCTGCCTGCTTTGGTCTCCCAGAGTGCTGGCATTACAGGCGTGAGCCACCACGCCCGGCCTGAAATAGTTCTCTTTTTCTTATTTTGTAAATATAGATTTTATCTTTAGTTTAGAAAATGATGACTAGGTACCGTATTGCCTATATAGTAATAACCACAATATGTGTCATTAAGTTCCACAAAAATTTAATGTAAAATTCTGTGTTAAGAGCTGTGAGTAAGATGCAGTCCCTGTCCTGACCACCCCTAAAATGCTACAGCTTATCTCATATGTACCTTTCTGTTACGTTTTCTGGTTGTGCATGATTTTTTAAGAAATATCATTACCTTTAATAAGGACCCTTGCTTAGCTGCCAGACTTGTCAACAAAGAAATTTCAGACATCTATAGGTTGTAATTATTGTCAGTGGCTACTGATGCAATATATAAAGCAGAGTTCTTAAGAAACTAGTTTTGCAACTGGCAGTTTAGGAGACTGGAAGGAATTCCTGGACAGGAAGAAAATATTTCCTGAGAAGTAAATGTAATGTAGCACACATATATAGAGAGTAAAATGTATAAGATGAGTTTAAAGAACAACAAACTAAATAACTGTGGATGACATTATCTAGGTTAAGAAGTAGAATATACCCGTATTCTGAAACTTAACTTTTTCAGCACTGGTTAGGTGACTCAACTGATATTTTTCTTCATTCTTCACATCTGTGTTTCTTTTCTTTCTGGTGAAATGCAATGTAACATAAATTTCAACTCAGTGAACAAAAGTCATTTGTTATAGAAGTAATATATAGCTGTGAAACACTAGTATTGCACTGTTTCATAACCATAAAAATTCTAGTT